GTGTATGAAATATAAAACATATATATAAAAAATTCAATACTCAAGTTGATAAGGCGCATGTGCTTCTAGGTTTGAAAGGATAATTCAAAGGGTGGATTTGCAAGGTCAAAATTACTGGTATTATTTTTTAGAAGATATCTTTTTTAAGAATTTAAATTTTTTATTAAAAATCAGTTTTTTTTTATATTTTCAATCATTTTAATTTGCTGATCTCGAAAATAATTTTTAAAAAGTAAAAAAAATATCATTTTAATATATTTTAACACAAAACATACTTTGAAAAACAACCACAATCATACTTTAAAAAGATTAAGCTCGTTTGCCTCACCTAAAAAGAAAAAAAAACTAGGTACACCTGATTTTATTTTTCCAAAAAAAAAAAACAATCATATGATTTGTGATATATTAAAGCTTGTTTTAAACTAAAATGTATGACATATAATATGTAAAGATATACAAAGTTTCATATGCCAAAGGGGACTAGAAAACTAAAGTTTGAATTTTTATATCTTAAAATAAAAATTTCAACTTATTTTCACCTATACATATAAAAAAACCATATAAATCTTAATAACCACCTTTTTAATCTTAAAACACCTTTTAATCAATACAAAATGTAAAAATCAAATAAAAAAATTACAGACCTCAATCTACTCTTTTTAGCATAGTTAAAAGGCAAAATTATGTTTAGCGAACTCTTACTTTCAATACCAACTCATTAACACTAGAATTATTTTTTTCAATTTGATTAAAAACAACCCTGACAATCTAAAAAAATATAATTTGATTAAAAAATCAAGATAATATCTTTTCTTTTTTAATTTTAAAATAATAACGTAATGGATTGATTTGGATCAATCCGAGTTAACATGTTAAATCTGTAACGAAAAATATGAAACTATAATAGCCATATTGAAAGTAAATCAAAATAAATTATAAAAGTCTAATTAATTTTCAATCAACTCAATATTAAATAATAAAATTAATAAATTAATAAAAATCTAAAAAATAACTCGAGTTAATATATCAAACATGTGACTCAGGTCATAAGACTAAAATAACACCATATAAATCAAATTGAAATAAATAATGAAAGTCAATTTTCAATTAACTCAATGTTGAAGGAATGAGATTAAAAAAAATTAATTTAAAAAACATAAAAAAAACAATCTAAATCAATTTATAAAATTTATGATCTCGATCATGAGACAAAATAACCTCATAAAAAATAAAAATAAAAATAACTTGCTTTTAATCTTAGTTAAATTGTCGAATTTACAACTCTAGTCATTAGATTGAAATGATCTCATAAAGAGCAAAACAAAACAAATTACAAAACTTAATTTGTAATTAACCTTATCAAATCAAAGGTTAAATGATAAAATTTCTAAAAAACTAAATAAAAATATCAAGTTAACCTAAGTTAACCTGTTAAATATTATTCCTGAGTCATAAGATCATAATAACATAATAAAAAGAAAATTAAAATAAATTATGAAACATGATTACTAATTAATATTAATTAATGAAATTTGAAGGAAAAAAAATCAATTAAAAAAAATCAATTTAGTTAATTTGTCAAACTTGTAACTCGGGTCATGAGACGAGAACAATTAAATAAAAAATATTCAATGTTGAAAGAATTATTACTCGGGTTATAAAACCGAGATAGCTCTTATAAAGAAAAAAATGGTATAATCAAGTTTAAAATGTCAAAACTCACAAACATAATCACAAGATCAAAATATCCTAACAAGAAACAAATCAAAGTATATTATGAAACTTAATTTTTAATTGATTCAATATTAAATAATTAAATTAAATTAATAAAAAATAATATAAATCAATTAGGATTAATCCATCAAGTACTATTCTTGTCATATTCTTGTCATAATACCAGAATAATCTAATAGATAGCAAACCAATCATATTATAAAACTTCATTTAGTACAATAATTAATGATAATTTTTTTTTTTAAATGAAAACGAAGTTAATTGGTTTAATTTACAATACTAGTGAGAGCAAAATAATATAAAAAATACCAGCAACGAGAGCAAAATAATATAAAAAATTATTTTTTAATAAAATAATTATTAATTGAAAAAGAAGGTATTATTTTAATAAATATAAAAACGTCTTCTCTGATAGGTTTTTTTTTTAATATAAAGTTAAGAGAAAGTATGTGCTCTCTGCCCTAAACTTACCTAATTCTGTGTCCATCAATAGTAAAACTTGGACCGTCAGGTTGAACCATGGTGATCCCCTTTAACTGTGCCAAGAAAGGCGGGCTTTGCTTTGATCCTCTATAGTCAGTCCCCTCTCCCTTTGGTATCGGGACCGTTAATCTGTCTTTAAATCCTATAATCTTCGTCTCTTCAAGATCCATGGTGACAGTAACTCCTTCAACCGGCCTCATATAAGCATTCACTGTACCATCTAAATAGTAACACATGACTCTGACAATCCTTTTCTTCCTTCTTTCCTCTCCATACCAACCAACAGTAAAAACCCCACAGACAACCTCTTCAATCTTGAGCCCTCTCTTTCTAATGGACTCCAAAAACGGTGCGTATTTGAGCGGCAACGCATTGGCGGCTATCTGCTCTTCAAAAGTGAGCAAAGGGCAGCCATAACCATCATAAAGTTTATCCGAAACAATCTTGTTGACTGTTAAGTCCACAGTGATTTCGTGAGTGGTTTGGTTAATACGTGCAATGACAAAAGCTTGGCGAGGTGGGGTTTTGGCGGTTTGATCTTTTAGCCATGAAAGAACGGTGAGTTTGTTTGGGTCTTCTAGGCCTACGTAGTGAAAGGCTGTGGCGTGGCTCGGTATGGGGTAGGAGCTGTGGACTATGGCTCGTACTTTGGAGAATTCGGCTGGGGTTAGGGAGTCTAGTGGGTGTTGATGTTGGTGAGCAGGGATGATGATCGAGAGAGTAGAGAGGAGAAGGAGAATTAGACTGTTGGGGAGTAAAGCCATAGATCAGAATCGTGAAAAATACATTTGTAAAGTAGTTTTATAACGGAAGTTTGTACAAGAAAATAAATACACCAAAAAGTTGCTTGAAATTGCCACTAATGCCATTGTCCTCGACCGGTGTTAAAAAACAATGCTTTTTATTGGACTTGCTTGAAGACTTAAATTTCCATAAATTTTGATTTTTTTTATATGTATATATTTTTAATTGTTTTGATGTAAAAAAAATTTATTATTTTAATATATTTATAAATAAAAAAATATTTTTTAAAAATTGATAACTACTGCACCCTGGTAAAATATACTAACAGCTACAAAATGTTCATTGAACTCCCTCTACCGAGGATAGGGTAACTGTTTTAGTAATTCTGTAAATTACTTAATGTACCCACTAATAAATGGTAGATTCGTCAATATAGAACAATAATTCTCATAATTACGCAACATGTGTGCATTGAACTACATCTTTCAAACAAAAAAAGAGTTATTTTTCACACCATATTTTATATTTTAAAAATGAAACAGTTAAAGTATATATCAATTAAGAATTTTTTAGTGAAAAATAGACATAAAAACCTGTTTAAATTTTTTTAAAAAAAAAAAACCGATGAATTGAGTCAACAACGTAACTATTAAGAATTTGACCTCGAAATAAAATCTGAAGCAAACATACCAGTTTCATTCAAGATTATTCAAATACAATTGAAATCTGTACTCTCAAAACCTCCCCTCATTGTATAGGTAAGAGTAAACGATGGCAACGAATCTCAAAAACGAAACGCAACCAAACAAGATATGAACAAATTCATCGAAATGTCAGATTACACAATCTCAGCCAAATTCTCTTTACTTGGATTAAAAAAAATATAGATATAGACTAAAATAAATGGAATTTCTATAATTTTTAGCATATTATTTTTCAAAAAATAACACAGTTAAAAAATATTCAAAAAAATAATACAATTTAGAGAATCACAAATACCACATATGATTCATGAGTCGCTGGTATTATACACTACTCTTTTAAATTGTAAGATAGCCCGACATAATTTGTAATAAGGAAAGGATAAA